AAACGCCCAGATAAATTCAAAAATACAGAGGATTTGGATATTATTCAACGGGAAGGTACGTGTGTTACTTATTTTCACAACATTATTGTATGTTTTACAACTTACCAAAACGTTATTGTTATCAGAAGGGTCTCATTTATGTATATACACTTGACCGAATTTAAACTGCAACCAGTGTCGTCATAAGGCTTTTTTTTTATTAGAACTGTAGAAAAAAATATTACAAGTATAGCAAGGTATGCAGGATTTACGAAATAAAACTGACTTTACACTATCAAATTAGAGTTATTTTAACGACTCATGGACCTCAAAGGAGATCGATATACATGTATATAGTATATATATACTTTTATTTTGCCGATGATTTATATATATATATCAGAAAGACGTAATAAAGAAAGATTATGCCATGAAAGATGTTATCATCATGGCATAATGATATGATACAGTTCAGATTATTACATAAATATGATTTAATTCAAAATAATTCATTTAGGTCCTTATGTCAAGGTGAAGTTTGTCGACGACGGAAAGGAGAAATCTTTCTCTGAGTTTAGCGGTGCGTTTTTGAGTCTTAAAGATGACTCAGAATTAAATTTCAACTCCCTGTATGAAGGCCTTGTTGTTGCAGCACAATGGGAGAACCGTCACTACCAGGCAAAGATTCTGTATATACATAATCCAGGTATTTATAAAAGTGTTACGAATTTTCCCCCATGACCAAAATAACCCACAGATTGGATCACCCCAATTTATGCCCTGAATATTTAATCTATGTATCGTAAATTTATTTGTAGATATCATGGGAATATTACCAATCATCGTATGTCATTAATGTATGCTTTATAATTCATTGTATATGTTTATTTCATGGAAATCCTTTCATTGTAATGTACAAACCCGAATTTCCTCCATATACCAGCCCACTCGTAATAGCAAATGGCCGTCTGGCATTGTTATTCAATCAAGGTACCCAAATCCAACTTGGCATCGTTACCAAAACAATTCCCAAACATCAGATCATCCCTTTTCCCGCATTTGTAATGATAAAGCCTTCACTTGATGCAAAAGTTGTTTGTGTTACCATACAAACGTCGCGCGAATACTGGCGGTACCGCTGGTTATTCGCGCGTGAACTAATTCGGCCCTAGTGATGAAAAGGTATATAAAGAAGGCTCTTTGGACTTTTTCTTCAGTCTGGGACGTTGGTCAGACTCATCAACATCTGACCAGCTCTAAGAATCCCAACTCCCCAGAAGTGGGTAAAATCTGATGCCCCCATATTGGATAAATAAACCCAATCTGCCAAGCCCGGCAGATCCATACCCAATTGATTCATTGATGCCAATCCCCGGCAAATCCATACCCAATTGATTCATTGATGCCAATCCCCGGCAGATCCATACCCAATTGATTCATTGATGCCAATCCCGGCAGATCCATACCCAATTGATTCATTGTTTATAAATTCATCCGGGTAACCCGGTAGAGCCGGATACCTTTTTATTGTCGGGTAACCCAAAATTTATTATTGCCTAATTGCTAATTATCTTATTGTTATTTGTTATTCATTGTTTGCACCATAATAAATTTTATAAATTTGCAACCTGGTTTTCATTTAGAGTTAAAGGGTAAAATTCAGAAACAGGAGACCCACAATAACTTATTATCATTGTAACAAACCCTGGAACAGGCGGAAAACGTTACAAAAGTGTTTAATTTTTTTAGGTTTTTGTATATCATCAGATCATGGTTGTAGATTTTTGTGATTCTTTAAATAATACATATTTAATCACATGTTTAATAGATCAATTGAGGGAGGAAGAGACAGAAACAGAATTGATGTCCAAAGGACAAAAGAAACCAAAGACAATTGCAAATCCTGAAAAGCTACTGATAAAAAAGAGAAGTATGCTTCACTAAAAGTTTTGTTAGTATACATTAAACATTTATTGCAGGATAGTGAGGGAAATATGAATACTTATTCAGCCAAGATACATCATATTCCCCTTGGGCGAAGCCCTCGGGGAATATAAATTTTCTTGGCTGAATAAGTATTCATGTTTCTCAAACATTCATGCAATGAATTGTTTATTATACAGAAACAAGCAAAAACTTTAAGATAGAAATAAACTTTCAAATTTGGCACCGCTATCAAATTCACTTTCATTTTTAACATAAAAAGTTCCTGAAACCTTGACATTTCGTAATCCAGTCTATAGTGATGTTGACTACTCTCGGGAGTTTTCTTTTAGCGAACGATAACTATATTGCTGGAAAATAGGTATCCAAAGAGGTGGAATATGAAAAGCGTGCTGACGACCAGGAAATGTAAAGTTTTATGGCCCGATCACGTGATAATCTGGAACCAATCAGATTACGTGTTAATTGTGTAGAATAGTTATAATGATGTAAAATAATATAAGCTGTGATGTCCTTGGGACAAGTGAAAGTTGAATTCAGGCATGTAACATTTTGGATCACATAAACACTTATTCTTGAATTTTATAAAATTTAGAGAGGGTATACAAAGAGATAGAAATATTATAAATCTTGTCTTTAAAGTCTTAAAAATTTCCTTCAGAGAGAGCTTCCCCAGACGCAAATCAAAAGGATGATGAAATGAAGGAAAAAAGAAAAGGTAAAGTCAAATAACAAAACTCGCCATTGAAAAGCACAGGTGCTTTAGCTTTATTTTAAGAATCTTTTTTTTTTTTGTACACATTGTTAACAAGTTTTAATTCACAGTAATTTTTCAAGTTCCAGAGGTTCCGAAGTAAAATGAATTGAAATCCACATCCAATTAAAATTGCTTCAACCTTTTTTTTTTTTTTATAGAGATGGCCCTAGAGAAAAAAAGGAAAAAACAGGCTGTGGCAGCTGCAGCACAGGATATCGCTGCCAAACTGTATTCTAAGGCTAATATGCATGTAAGTAGAGAGTTAGTTGCTCCCCAGAATCTTCGGCCTAGTCCTGAACCATCAGTGGTTAATCTGATCCCACAGCTCTCTAAGCTCTTTAGTGCCTCCCCCGATTCCACAGCCGTCTCCAAGCTCTTTAGTGCCTCCCCAGATCCCACAGCCCTCTCCAAGCTCCTTAGTGCCTCCCCCGATTCCACAGCCGTCTCCAAGCTCTTCAGTGCCTCCCCAGATTCCACAGCCGTCTCCAAGCTCTTTAGTGCCTCCCCAGATCCTACAGCCGTCTCCGAGCTCTTCAGTGCCTCCCCAGATTCCACAGCCATCTCCAAGCTCTTTAGTGCCTCCCCAGATCCTACAGCCATCTCCGAGCTCTTCAGTGCCTCCCCAGATTCCACAGCCCTCTCCAAGCTCTTCAGTGCCTCCCCAGATTCCACAGCCGTCTCCAAGCTCTTCAGTGCCTCCCCAGATCCCACAGCCGTCTCTAAGCTCTTCAGTGCCTCCCCAGATTCCACAGCCGTCTCCAAGCTCTTTAGTGCCTCCCCAGATCCCACAGCCCTCTCCGAGCTCTTCAGTGCCTCCCCAGATTCCACAGCCCTCTCCAAGCTCTTCAGTGCCTCCCCAGATTCCACAGCCATCTCCAAGCTCTTCAGTGCCTCCCCAGATCCCACAGCCGTCTCCAAGCTCTTTAGTGCCTCCCCAGATTCCACAGCCGTCTCTATGCTCTTTAGTGCCTCCCCAGATTCCACAGCCGTCTCTATGCTCTTTAGTGCCTCCCCAGATCCCACAATCGTCTCTATGCTCTTTAGTGCCTCCCCAGATTTCACAGACGTCCCCATCAGGACCCGAGGTTTATACCACCTCATTTAATAATGATCTACATCAACCCAGGCATGACAACTCTGAAAACTCAATAAATGCTGCTGTTTCTTTTGAAAACTCTCAGCATGATTACTCACAATATCCTTTATCTTCAACCCCTGTAGAGCATGAAAGCATGCTTAGTTTATTGTATGAGAATACTAATAATGGGGCAGCTTATGAACCCTGTGCTAGCAGCAATGAGAATTGCAGGCTTTGTTTTTACAAAGACCTGGAAATCAGGGATTTAAAGTTCAGAGTTCGAAACTTAGAAGAAGAAATTTTACAACTGAGAGATGGAAGTCAGGGTAATTTGTACATGTGTTCATGTAATATATTATTATTTTAATCTTTGATAAGTGAACCAAAGTAATTTTTTTCTTCTCAGTTTAAGGGATCTAATTAATTTTGAGATCTTCACTACATTTTATACAAGAACCCCCATTTTTGCTGAAGAAATGAATTAAAAATATATTTTTTATCAAAATGTATTTCTTTCATTTATTGTAGAGTTGTCTGATGGTGGGAACCTTCCTTCTTCGTCAAAAGTAATGAAAAAACACAAGCCAAAGACCAGACCCAGCATTGAGTGGGCAGACTATGTAAGTTCTTATTGATATATTTACATCAACTGAATATTATTTTATTTCCTTTGAAAATCATTGTAAATCAAAAAGAAACCCCCTCTTTCAATTTTATGAAAGGATAAGCTGATTTACCTCTATAGTTAACAAAATTAAATTTTTCAAGATTTTATTATATTCACAGTATGAGCTGAAAAATGAGGAAAGCCCAAGAGAGGGTTATTGCCTTTTGGCACCCGGAGCAACTATTGCGGTATCTTCCCTATGGTTGCATTCTATGTTGTCATCGCTCTCGAAGAAGAAGAAACAAAAAAAGTCGACAGGATTCGACATCCTTAAAAGATTGATGGACGGTTTCTATGAACCCTGGGATCTGGCTGTGAAGGGTGGCATAACCCCCTTCAAGGATTCCCCTATATATAAATCCTTGAGATGTGAGTACTGTCTCAGTCCTTGGAAATATCTTTTTACTTTATAGTTAAATAATCATGGTTACCAAATGATACTGCACGTCTTGTGTGTATACACATACTTGTAATGCTCGTCATTGGATTTTTGCATATCTAATTCTACATTTCAATTGGTTTATGTAAAACGAAACACAAGAAAGAATATTTACGTAGGAATTCAAGGTTTTAGTTCATTTCATGTACCGGTATTTATATTATTTCATTTGTAGGCTATGCAGAACATAAATTAAACATGGATCTTCCATCTTTCAATCGTGCCTGGATGGAGAAGATGTCAGCCTCCAGATTAACAATGAAAAGGGTTGAAAAGAAAAACAATGATACAGTTTCTTCATCAGACCAATAATTCTGCATATTGTCAGTCTCAATTCCCTTGTAAATTCTTATTTTAGTCTCTTGGTTCCAGTATTATCCTAGGACATTTCAATTAGTTCAATTAGTTCTACTTATTTAAGTTGATGGTTTTAAATGCACCAAGTAGTTTTTGTAGGTTTATGCTTTTTGTAATCCACAAATAGTTGTTCGTAAAAGTATCTTGCATAATATTAGTATTAATTATATTAGATATTCATTAGAAAATATTTTGCAAAGGAATAGTTGATGCATATTTTTACTATTGTTAAATAATTGTTGTGCTCAATGCATAAGATGTTCTGTTTTCACTTTTTTTTTTGCACCTATTCTGTTTTAATTACTTTTTTTATTAAGTTTACAAAATGAAATTGTTTTGCATATATTGTAAATAATTCATTCCAAGTGTTTTTTAGAAGTGATTTGTAAACAATTTTTTCAAAATGATTTGGTTGTGATTTATTCATGATGATTTGGAAGTGATTTGTTAAAGAGAAGTGATTTGTAAACGATTTATTCCGAGTGATTTGGTAGTGATTTGTTAAAGAGAAGTGATTTGTAAACGATTTATTCCGAGTGATTTGGTAGTGATTTGTTAAAGAGAAGTGATTTGTAAACGATTTATTCCGAGTGATTTTGAAGTGATTTGTTAAGAAGAAGTGATTTGTACACGATTTATTCAGAGTGATTTTGAAGTGATTTGTTAAAGAGAAGTGATTTGTAAACGATTTCTTCCGAGTGATTTGGTTGTGATTTGTTTGGAGTACCATTTTGGAAAATAAAAGTGATTTGCTTACAATTTATTCAGAGTGATTTGTTAGCTCATTTGCATGGGAATTTGCATCACTTACAAATCATCTTTAAATCACTGATTTACAAGTGATTTCTTAAAGTGATTTGTTTGGGGATTTTTTTCACTTGGGTACATATGTTTCAGCCAATATGCCCATGATTCAAATCTTTCAATCAGCTCATAGAATTTTATTATTGTTAACCACAATTAAAGGTGTTAATTTTGGGGGGCCATCAGGGCTGTAATCTCTAGCAATGATTTACCATACTTTTTTTTGGTAGCGTCTGTGCATGAGGAGATTTTCTGAAAAAGAATAAGTGGTTATTCAACTTACTTCGATTTTAACAGACTTAAAGCTTGGTCCATGGATGGTTATGTTTGTGGTATATATATTCTTTTTTTTCTTTTTTTATTGCTTGTTTAATTAAAAACAGGCAATTATGATTGTCATTATTATAAAATATTATTTTAAACAAATTGATGTAAAATTGAAGAACCCAAACTGGTGTTTGTAAAAAGATTATAAAAGGAATAAAAGCAATGAATTTAAATTTTATTAATATTGCACTATTATAATTTAAGTACTTTTTTTTTTAACTGATAGGATTTGCCAATTCGACCGCAAGTGCTGCTGCAAGAAATTAAACATGCAGTGACCTTACAAATTACAAAGAAGTCTGAAGAAAATTTTTATTGGACAGATGGGTGTAAAGCACAGACCTGAGATATAAATTGAATTGTGAGAAATATGAATCAGGGATGCAAGTAGAAAATGGCAAATGTGATCCAGATTGATAAAAAATGTTTAAAATTTTTTCTTGTTTTGCAAATATTCAATGCTATGTCAATTGTTATTTTTTCCCCAATATCTAATAGTGTTGAACATTTCACTCCCACTTTTGCCTAAATAGAATGAATAGATTTCCATTTATTTAATATGAATATTAAAAAATGCCACATTTTTTCCATGATGAACTTGTGGGTTAAATAAGAGTTCCAGTTTTTTTCCATACATGCTCCTATTTGTTTGTCAAAGATATAACATCCAATACATTGCTCATGAACATAATGTGTAATTTTGTTCATTCATTTATATGTTTTTTTCTCATAATTATATAATAAATTGTATATAATTTTGCACATTGTTGATGGTTTTGTAAATATTTATGTATGTATGCATCATGTAGTGGTTTTAAGCCATTTTATAACCATGTGATTAACTCCGTATTTTCTCCAGATTTCCGCATTTTATCAACCAAGTAAATACCTCCATATTTTGTATATATGGAAATGCGGAAATCTGGAGAGAATACGGAAAAAGAGTCCAAATACTCCCATCCACATTTTCTCCATATTTTGAATACGGAGAAAATCTGGAAATTTGAATCTATGAAAATCTGGAATGAATGCGGAAAATTAGTCCAAATACTCCCGTCCGCATTTTCTCCTTATTTTGAATATGGGAAAAATGTGGAGATCTGAGGTGCGGGACAGTAGTAATTAACTCTGTAGATACCAATTCTGTT